CCAAAGTGATCCAATTGTGCGAAATTTTTGCCTTTTTGTGCTTGCAAGCTTTAAATTTGTTTCAATCTGGGCCTTTCTGCTTTTAGCAACAGATTTCAAATCAGCGCTAAATTCTGCACAATATAAGCGTCGTGACGTGCAAAAATTTGCACCAAAACTTCTCTTAGCAAAACGGACCCACTTACCTCAACTAACTCTTCCGTGTTCAACTCAACCGGATCGTGATGCGGTATAAGTTCATAGAAAGCCGCCATGCTCTTCGCCAAAATGGCTCGGCGTTCCTTGGTTTGTTCCTGGATCACTGCCTAAAAACTTCTAACTAAAAATGCAACCGTCAACCCACATCCCGAATCAGGTCCAGCACCTCAAACGCCCGCTCAATGCGCCCCATGATCGTGTGAGTGCCGTTAATTTTGTCTGGGTCTATCTAAACTAAGTTTTTAAGCGCTAAAACCTGGGCTTACCCTCAATTCCTTCATGCGGTCCCGCAAAAAGTCCTCGTTGAAAACCTTGGCGATCAACTCGGCGACCGGGGCCCGAAGTTTACAGCGAGTATCATTGGTCTAAATTAGAAAAGTTGTTTTATAAAATGAAAACGCACTAGTTTCCGTCCCTCGCCGCTGAACGGGATGACCGCATTCATGCCGGGAACGGCCTGAAAAAAAAACGATCATATTCTTGTTAGAAAGCGCTAAAATTCGCCTTGAAAAAAGTCCAAAGGTATTTTTTGAATAGAAATAAGGCTTTCGTAGCGGCCTGAAATAATGAAAATGCTAAATAATAAGCTAAACGCAAAGTACGATTTTCAGCTGCAGTCTTTTCTAATTTTCATGCCGTACCTTTCCTAGAATTCCCCGAAGGTTAGTTTTGCTACACTTCTAGACTTCCCGCAATTACATTAGTAAAAATACGACTAAAAGAAGGTAAAATCTTTGCCTGAAAAAGGTCAACCCGTCGATGTGTCAAAAGAAGGGCCAGGAATGCATTAATGAATCACCCCCGCGACATTTTTTCTATCGGGATCCTTCCCGTTATCTTAAAATCGGTTTTCTGATCCCCAGAAACTGTTTTAGCCAAGCTTCCGCTTTTGTTTACGTTGCTGGCGCTGAGCGGGGAATGGAGTTTCGAAACTCACAAGCGCCTTCTCACCACGTCATCAAAGAGCCCCGTTATTTGCTGCGCCAGGAAATTGCTGGGTTGAAACGAAAATGGCACCTTTCGCCGTGGAAGCGATTTATTTGTGATTTGGCAACATTTTTTTACTTGAATCCATCTGATTTTAAAGCAGCTTTCCCCCGGTTTTTTTGTTAGCGATAAAACAAATTACTGGTTGATCATGCCCTATAACTTTCAAAATAGGAAATTCAGTGCGGTTCTCACATTTATTCTGGCTAAATCAATCCAGAAAGTAGGGAATTTTAGGTAAATAACTAAGCATTTTTAACGATATTCTTACAATCCACTTCCTATGAGTAAAAATAAAACGATAAGGCTATACCCCTGGCTATTCGAGCAATACGGGATTTAAAAAACACTTCCCCTTCTGCTTAGAAGAAAACTAAAGGAAACCTCTATGTATTTTAGGTCTATCCTATGAGTTTTGGCCCTATTTTTAACCTCCATTTTTTAAGGATAAAACGAAGTTTGCAATGAAAAAACTTCTGGTTTTGGCAGCAATAAATCGCAATAAAAACTACTGATTTTAAAAAAGCCGAAACAAAGAATTACGGTATGTTAGTGCCGTTTGAAACTTTCGATTGATTACCTGGCGTAATCGGGGGCTACGCGGCGCTCCGATTGACGTAGAGACCCGGGAAGACAAGGGCGAAAATTTTCCACACCATCTGCCCCTCCTGTGTATTCACGCGCCTCTTCATCTACCACTTTCAAGCCCACCTTCACGAGTCTCGCGCCGCGCCCACTCCATGAAGGAAATAACGTATCAGGTCGAGGGACGGAATGTGCTGGTTGGTGTATTTATCTAAAACAATTTATTTTTCATTTTAAGCGCAACGATGCTCGCTGTAAACTTCGTGCCCCGGTGGCCGATTTGATAGCCATGGTGTTCAACGAGAACTTTTTGAAGGAGCGTATGCTGGAATTTCACGTAAGATTGTTTTTTTTTGGAAGATATCATGAGCATTTTCTAGATCGACGCCGAGAAAATTACGGGCACCGGCAACCTGATGCGCCGCATTGAACGAGCCTACGAGGCGTTGGACAGAATTCGGGATGTGAGTAGTTTCTTGGATTTTAATAACGTTTGATAGTGTTTACAAGAGACAAAATTATAGAATTTGAAATCTTTATAGTGGCTATGATAATTTTACTATCGTTTTTAAGGTTCTTGGAGCAGTTTTAACAGGAATTGGATGAGTGCATGATAAAACTAGTTGTTTTTTATTTCTGGGCATAAAAACCTTACTAAAAACTCATGAATTTCGTCCTAAATGTCAGCTTTTAGCTTGTTCTTATCTTTCCAGTGGTATATCCGCTCAGGATATAGCCAAATTTCACTGAAAAGTTTATTAAAATACTTGCAAGGGCTTTATGGGACATAACTGGACATATGGAAAAATTAGGGTCTCCCCGGAAGCAGCAATGTGCCTATATCAGTACTTTTTTTATGCAGAAAGCAATGTTTTTAGGCGGCCATCCAAGAAAAGACCGACGAGCGATTGGCAAGGTTGGAGAGAAGCACGATCGCGTTTTACGAACTAATCCCGCATCACGAGCGAGCGCCGCTCGACACCGAGGAGCTGATCGATGTAATTCGCAAAAATTCCTTGCTAGTCAATCCCAAATTTAGAAAAAAATTGAGCAACTCGGCGAGCTGATCGAGTTGGCCGAAATCGAGCAGATGATGGATAAGCACGGCAGCAAAGAACCACGGCATATTCTCGACCAACTCTACGACCATATCAAGTGTGATATTGTGGTAGAGTTAAAAATTCAAAAATCAATTAAACATTGTTTAGCCACTCCAACGGGAGGAGGATGATTTCAAGATGATCGAGCGCTACATTTTGGAGTCGGGCAACTCGCAGTATGGCGACTTCAGATGTTATGATGTTGCGGCGGTAAGGTTACCGTAATTTTTAGTTGTTGTTAACTGTGGTTCTTTGGCATTATCGGGGGGCAACTTTTTTCTTAGTATCGAATTTTTCTAATAAGGAAGAAGCCTTTCCAACCGTTTTAATATTCTGGACGTAAAAACGTTATAGATTTGTATGAAAAATGTCAAAAATATAGGTTTTTCGACCAAACTTTCAACGAAAAATTTTCCAAAGTTTTTTGTATTCTTTTCAACTTTAAATATCGTTGCATTTTGCTACAAGCAATATTAAAACACTTACTACGCAATACGTTACTCTGCATTTCTGGACTTTGCCTATTAAACGTTTTGCCCCACCCCTAATGCCAAAGAACCGAAAATAAGCGTATTTGTTTTAAAAAATGATTCTGGAATTTTCCAAATTAACGAAATAATTTTAGGCATTCTCGCTTCGACGCGGCGGCGAAGATGCGGCATTCCGGAAAGATTTGCCTAACCGAACATTACTCTGGCACGGCTCGAACGTCGTCAACTACTGCGGAATCTTCACACAAGGCCTCAGGATTGCTCCCAAGGAAGCGGCGTACATCGTGCGTAGAACACTCAAATTTTTCAAAGTTTTTTTAGACCGGTCAAGCCTATGGCCGCGGCCTCTACTTCTCCGACAACTTCAACGTGTCGATGGGCTATTGCCGGGTGAAAGCGGATGAGGAGCCGCTGATTTTGTTGTGCGAGGTGGCGCTGGGAAAGGTACGTGATTTTTGGAATTTTGGAAAGATTTCGGATCATTTTAGAGCCGGAACTTCCACACTGGCGGCGGCTACCACTCGGATTCCGGAAAGTCATCATGGAATTCGACGTTTGGTCAGTTTTCTTGATTCGTTCAGCTCTTACTTGAGCAATAGACTGACTAGGATACTTTATAAAGAAAATGACAAGAGGTAAACTTTCCGCAACAAAATTAGGGCAATAAAACTTCTAAATTACATGTTTTTCTGGCTGAAATTCATTATATTAGTATATTTTTTGACGTTCTTTAGTTGGCCTTTTTCAAAATTTGGAAATCGCGAAATTCAGCTATTCCAACGGTTTCTATTTGCTGAACTCATAGCAGCTTTTAAACAATTTTTCTTTTCCCAATAAAAATCTACTATAATTTTTTTCGGATTTTAATTCATCTTGTTAATGTTTTTTTCGAGTTACTTGAAAAATATCAGCACTATTTAGTACGCATCTTAATTTTTATTGCGTATGATTTCCTTTTTATGCGTCAATTTTAGTGGGTTTCGGCGACAAGCATACAATCCCAACGAGGATCCTGCGAGCTTTGTGCCCCATCCCGATGGATACGGCGTTCCGCTGAGCCCCCACGTCGACCGCACTTCAACGACAGAAAAGCCGCTGCGCCAGAATTTGTAAGTTTGCACGTTTTATTGGACGAACTAGGTTATAAAGGCGTCTATGCTTTTTGTGACGTTTTCAAAGCGAGTTCTTACGCAGTATCGGAGGGAGCAATTTTTTCTGATGATGCAAATTTTCTAATATAAAACAAGGAAGTGTTTGTAAACGATTTTTACGCGTCCCAAGCGTAACTTTACAAACTTTTATTGAAAGTTACAAAAACAAGATAGTTTTCGACTAAAATGGCCGATTTTCGGACGAATTTTCGACTATATTTTTCTGTTATGTAGGTTGGGTTTTCACTTTAACAAAAGCTAAATTTTTACTAAAAACATTAATAAAACACCTACCACTACGTAACTAGGCCTGCCGAAAAAATAAATCGATTTTTCGACGAAAAGTCCCCTTTTCGAGCAAATTCCGTTTACAATGGTTTTCGGAGTTGTTTTTGTTTGTTTTCCTATTTTAAACATAGTCAAATTTTACTATAGAACCTATTAAAACACATTATATTTCCGTCCGCCGTTTTAGCCACTTCAAGAGCTTTTTTTAGTTACGTCGTGCCCAAGACGGATCAGGCCCGTCTCCGCTTCATCATTCGGCTGCGGTTGAAGCCCGGCGCGAACGTCCCCAGCACGCGCCACTAAATTCACACTTTTCTCGCCATACCTTGCCCTCGATTCCGTTGCATATCAATTCCGCGTTGTTGTCTTTGTTGTTGGGTGCCATGATGAGCATTACAACTAATAATTCCAGTCCATAATGCCATTGAAATCCATCGCCGAGATTTGTGCATGTCCTTCAGGGTTTTGAACCTCAATCCGAAATTTTTTGAGCTTTAGAATCGGATGATTCTTAAATTATCCGCACTGCCATGCAAAGTTTACACCGTTCAATAAAGAGTTGTGAAGTAGAAACATGCATACGGCTCGGTTTTCTTTGATGAAAAGGTATCGCCTAGCTTCGGTACTTTAGGTACTAAATGTGGAATTTTAGATGCGGTAACGGCATGAAAAATAGGTTCTCTCGCATTATAGGTGGGGGCATTATGTTTTCGAGTCCAGAAATGTTTTGTAATGGAATAGCACCTATTTTAATATTATTTTTGGCAAAATTTACGGTTTCTCTAGTGAAAAACAAAAAAAATGTTTTTGGTGAAATTTTTATCGAAATTCGGCCATTTTTGGTCGAAAAGCGATATTTTTGTAAAGTTTTTAATGAGAATTTGCAGTTTTTACGTTTAGAAATAGTAAAAAGCTGTTTAAAAACACTTTTTCCATCTATATTAAAAAATTAGATCCCCGGAACAAAACGCTGTTTTAGTCGATCTTTAGGGTTTCCGTCTAATTTGCTACTCGTTTAGACCAAAATTTTCTGCCCCAAAAAACACACAGACGATCACGTGCTCCTCGGATCTCGGTCTCCCCGGCAAATTGCTCTCATAAATTTTGCGATAACCGCAGATATCAGAAATTGATCCCTCGGATCTGTGTATCCGTTTCTTTTTGTGGTTCAACAAGGGGCGGGAGCAAATTTTTACCTTTTCGATATTTTGTGCGGTTTCAGAATCAATTCTTTAAGCGCTAGGGATCAGAATGGACAGTTATGATTACATCACTGCCCAATCTGCCTAATTTGATGCCTCCCCAGCTCGAAGTTCAACTTCGGTTAGCTAGATAATGTATCAGATGCAGTTTTTCGCGCTGATCACGATACCGATATTTATTTTGCCCAAATCCATAGGAACACCATGAAAAATCATTTGAAGCATTGTGCATTTTTTGCCTGGCTGGGCGTGATCCGCCTCACGCGCTTCAAAGCCCACTTTCCAGAGGGGAGGCATCCATCGGTGGCATGGTGTAGTCGGCAAAGTCTTAGTCTTGGTCCAAGCTTGGGGTCACTAGTTCGAGAGTCTTGCAGCTGACGACTTTTTTGCTTTTTGGATAAGAAATTGCTGTCTGGCCATATGGACTCCCAGTAATAAGATTTTATCGGTTTTGCATTGGTTTGTCGGTTCGCTTGCATTTTTACGTTCAGTTTTACTCTTTCTGGTGAACGAAATTTCAGATTATCGAGGTGTCAATCATCATGTCAATCATGCTTTGTTGTTGCCAAAAATACTTCAATTGGTATAAATGGGCCAAAAAGAACTCGAAGTCTTGTTACTGAGCGTCCATATGGCCTTCACAGCAATTTTTATCAAAAAAGCTTAAAGTGATCAGCTGCGGGACTCTCGAACTAGTGGCCCCCTAGATTGGTAGACCAACCACTTGCCGACTACACCATGCCGCCGATGGATTACTTGCCTCCCTCTGGAAAGAGGAACTTTGAAGCGCGTGAGGCGGATCCGCCCAGCCAGAGCAAAAATGCACAATGTTTCAAATGATTTTTCATAGTGTTCCTATGGTTTGGGCAAAAATAAATATCGGTATCGTGATCAGCGCGAAAAACTGCATCTGATACGCTATCTAGCTAACCGAAGTTGAACTTCGAGCTGGGGAGAGTATCCTTGGTAAGTCGAAAACGCGCTCCGATTTATCGGCGACAAGCCATTGATTGATCGGGGAATTTCGGGAATGCGCGGAACGACGCGGACAATGTTTCATTTTCGGGCGGTTTTAGCAGATCGTTGCGCGCCTTGCTGCGGACTTTGTGATCTCTGGAAATTTACCAGAAATTCAGATAACTCGAAAAATTCTTTACGGTTTCCTTTTCTAAATTAATTTCAGATACTTGGTTTCAGCTTAAGCTTAGGCTTGACTTAGGTTCAACTATGCCTAGCTTAGGCTTAGGCTTAAGCTTTAGCCCAAGCTAAACTATCTTGACCTTCAAATTGCCTTTCGAGGCCAAAATGTGGTCTTAGGGGGGTAGCTTAGAGCTCAGCTAAAGCTTCGCTCAAAGCTAACCCAAGGCTTCGTTGTATGAGCTAAACCTAAGCTCAGGCTTAACTTACATGTTAGCTTTTCCGGAGGCTTCGAGTTTAAAAAACGGCATTTGGAGCACCTTGTAGTCAAAATTCGGCCGCCCCCCCCCACCCAAGTGCATTAGCACCATTAATTTAGTTATAGCATTTTTGGGTCAGCGCGTTCTTGCGTTTTTGTGATCTCTGAAAATCGTCATAAATTTATCTAGTCCTAATTCTAGAGTTTGAGCACAGGCTGAATTAAATTTTAGCCTGTTCCGAGTTAAAATTCGCTTTTGATGACGTTTTCGAGTGACGAACCTTCTAGCGCGCTATGGTCCTTCTATGCTATAAAATTTGCGCGTTTTACCGCTAGCGCAAATCAGCGTACTTTTTTCTCTAAAACCCGCTTCTAATGACGTTTTCTATTGACTCATGTTGTGCTATGTTGGAACTCATCCACTCGCCCTCCTTTCGCACCCCATATCATACCCGTCCTTGCTCCCCGGACGTCATCGCGCGTCAAAACGCCGGAAAACATTGCCCGCCAGTGGGTACAGGATTGTCTCGAGCGCTATAATCATTCTTCATCCTAACTTTTTGACATTTTTATCTCTGGTCGATCTCATGAGACCTAGATGAGAGAATTGCCACTCGTTCCGTTTTCATCTATACAACCGAACGGGATGTCATCTCTCAACTTATCGATTTGGATGAATGTGTATGATGGGCGTTTTAAGTATATTTTTCTAGTCCTGGGTCCGCAAGAATCTCTGCTAGCGCGTGGCTTGAAATGCATTGGCTCTACCAGAATCTAGTCAGTTTTTTTCGTTAGAACGTTTTCGCCCATTCTCGCGTCTCCCCCATTTCCGCGAAACGCAACGCGCACGCTCGGGTTTATCGCGCGCCGTCCGGTCGCGTCGCGTACTCGCCGTTGCCGGCTGCACGCGACGCGCATGTTCCGCGTTTACCACGCACTATCGCTGCGCTCAAATTGTAAATACCCTTGATATATTGCATTGTTTTCCCAACCCAATCGGAAATTGTGACAGATCATTTTTCGAGCCGTCGTCGATCGTATGCCCACATCCGACCGCCAAAGAAGTTTGGTGATTGATTGGGGCAACGGCTATATCGGATCCGGGGCTCAATCATGCTCCCCCACGGGGAGCACTACTATCATTTTGCGCTCCGCATTTTTTGGCCGCGACTCTTTTCCCGTCTCCCGGGTTATGATCATCCGGTTTCCACCATTCAGCTCTCCGGGTTTTGACATGACACACTACTTTTCGGCCTCTCCGATTAGAAAAATCGAGAAAATGCTAAATTTTTCTGGATTTGGTAAGAATCTCGTGCCCGATATTTATTAGGACCGTTCTATAGTGCTTGTTTAGTTCATAGAATTCCCTGATATTGATTGTTGGTTATTTTGGATTATCGACGGGGGGTGGGAATGGATTTTTCCCTCTAAATATGGAAATTACTAGCAACTTAATAACACTTGTTTTATGGTTTTTCGGTAAAAATGAACAATTTTAATGCACAAAAATTACCTAAAAATTAGAAAGTTTTCAATTTGCAGGAGTTTTGAATTTTGAATGTCGTTGAACGGAGCGTTGAATGTCGTTGTTTGAATCGAATTTTTGATGTTGTTTTGAAACAAATTTGTAAAGATCTTCATATGTCTTTTCTTTTCCCCCTGTTGCCGACGTAAAACAAATTATTAAATTTCGAATCCAATAGGTGTCACTACGAATAGCTAGTTTAGCTAGCTGCTCTCCAACTTTCCGATGTCGTGATTTTAAATGATTCCATATTTTAGTGCAGACTTTTCACTGTTTTGTTCTGCGTCTTTTTCTCACCATCATCTCGTAGCTGCGATCCACTTTTGGGGTCATTTTCTGACCGTTCCATGGATTGGCGCGTAGGCTCTCGGGAGGCGTAAAACTTTTTCCGGGGTCGATCAGTACGTACACAATATCACATTTTGAGAAAACGTTTTGGTCCGTACTGTCTTTATACCTCGATGTCTTCCCCACCCCAACTTGCATATTTAGCTAGCTTTTTATAAATTTTAAAATCTTACCTGATCTTTTGCCAGATAATTCTAGGTATTAGTGGCCTTTTTGCCGTTACGGTCCAAACTTGTCGCCGTTGCGCGACCTAGTTGTCTTTAACATGCCCTCAGGCCATAGACATCCCTCGATTCGTTTGCTCAAACATACCCCCAAGCTATGATCGCACCTCGTCCTCATCGCGTGACTCGTCCAGACCACTTTTTGCTGGTTTTCCCCGTTGCTAGAGTCGCTCAGCTGATTCGGGCAATTATTATTGATGTCGGGGCGCATGAATTTTTTAAGGGTTGGTGTTGCGAAGTAATATGTATTATCGGGAGCGAGAAAAAGCTAAAAAGACCAGATCCGCTAAATCGTCTTAAAATAGCTCGAAAATAGGAAAAAACGTGGTTTTCTGACTATGAACAATTATGATAAAGATATAATTAAATCGGAAAAATCGAATAAATCGCTATGGAATACAAAAATTGGCTAAATGAAAGTGCAAATATAGAAACGCTAAACTACAAACTAGGAAATACGAAAATTATGAAAATCTTTTTAAAGACTTTTTACGGTTTTTATGCTTTTTGTGTGTTTAATTTTTTATGTAAGGTTTATTCAATTTTGGACTTTTTGAATCAGACTACAAACTACTAAAGTACTTTGCTTTCGGTATTTTTCCGTGTAAGATACTAGTACAATTTTAAGTCTTCATGACTTTAAAGCGAAATTCGTGAATTTTTAACCCCTTTAAGCCAGACTACAAACCGTAAAAGTGCGAAAACCCTCTTTTTATACGCGTTCTTCTTTGCAAATTACTCGTTTATAAAAGTGGAGGTTTAGAGAATTTATAGAAGAAGTCTTTTTTTGGAATCAGAAAACTTATTTCTCGCGCTTTTTAACCATTTTTAAGGGAAAATCCGTTTTTGGAACCCGAACCTCTCTACTTGCAACGAGAACCCTGTTCCGGCCAAAAATCCTTGAAAAGCCCGACCGGAAAAACATGGCATCAGTGAGTCGACCTCTTCTTGCCCCCCGTGTGCAATTTACTGTGGGTAGTTAGGTGGAGCGGAAAAGGGTGAAATCACATGTTCTCTCATCCATCTTATCCTCCACCCCTCCGACAAAATTCTTATCCGCAAGCCCGTCTTTTCCAATTTCAACTGGCCGGCGAGGACAAATCGGTATCTTAGCCCGACGTACTGGGGGTAAACGCCCAGATCCCCGTCACAATTTTGGGTCCTGGGGATCGATCGGGGTTAGTCATGTTTTCACTATAGTTTTCATTATGTTAAAAATGTAAAGCTGTTAAATTTCTTAATTTTAGCCGCCTCCGCGAGCCATTTGGGTTTAGTCCGTTTGTACAAATTTGGTGGTTTTGCATTATAGGAAGGGGGGATATCTCAGAGGAGGACCGATTTTTTGCTTATAACTTTCCAATTTTTCTTATGCATGTAAATAGAGGAACTGTTTTGTAAGCTATTTTTTTCTATTCCTAAGCGTAAATCCTACAAATTTTTTTACGGAAAATACTGACATTAAAAAATGGGTTTTAGCCAAAAATCGGTGATTTTTACCAGGATTTCAATAATTTGTAAGTTTTACATAGTTCTTCCTCAAGGAATATACATCAAATTTTAGTAAGGGCGCTAATAAAACAGTTACTTTTACGCTGCTTAGTATTAACTTGCAACAATTAAAATAAATTTGTTTTTTATTTTCCTATGATTGATTCCAGTCCTGTACTCCTTACATTTTACCGTACTCTTTTCTGTCTGCTCGCTCGTCAGAAACAGTTTTAGATTTTTCAAAGGACTTCTGCTAGTTCGCCTGCCGAATTTGATCATTTTAAATCCAACCATGTGATTAGCGTTTTTTTTTAACGTTTTAAAAAACCCCCATTTGCGCCATTTTTAGCAAATAATTTTTTTTTGCAGAAAAATCAAATATTTTCTTGGTTTTGTTCATTTTTTGGTTCGTAAACCCGTTTTCCATATCTGCCATTTTTAGCCCCTCAATATTGGCGTCGCCAGCAAATGGTATGGGGCGGACGGCCCAGTTAATTTTTATTGTCCTCCTCGTCCAGCAGACCGTTGCCATACAGGAATTTGTTGTAAGTTGGAGCTTGTCGGAATTTTAAAGCCTGAATTCGTGAATATAGCACTGGAAATTCTACATTTTCTAGGCGGAATCGTTCAGCAGCTTCGACTTTGACAGCAAGCACTCGATCTCGTTCAAGCAGCTGCTCTTGTGCTGCTTGGATTTTTAGCCACTTTTGGAGTGTTGGTATGTTAATTTTTGTAAAAAAACAAGTCATAAAAATACGGTAAAATGCGTACTACAATCTTGGTTTTCAGCTAATCGTCGTGTTCCTCTTTCACCGCTGCATGGAAAAGCTCGGGTATAACGACAACACCAAGCGGTTCGAGCTACCGTCTTTTGAAAACGTATATTTTGATCGTGGAATTAGTGCAAATATACTATTTTTTAGTACAAAGTCGTCGAGGAAGACGAAAATGAGAACAAGCGCAAAAGTTTTCAATCGATCCTCGTCCACTCGGAACTGATAAAAATGCAGGGTACGTCCAAATATGCTTCCATTTTGCGAATAATTTCTTTTTAAATTTATCCCAGCTCTTATTAAAGCATTTTTAGGTGAAATAGTACATTAAAAGCTACGTTTTAGGTGATGAAGAGGTCCTATCCCCACTGGGTCTCGACAAAAAGCAACGCCGAGAGTTAGCCATGCTCCTGGGTGGCTATGTACATTAATTCATACCTTTCCTTATCTCAATTTATGGTTTTAGATTAAGACTTAAAATCCTTAGTTCCCATCGGAAACTCCTATAGACCCGTTGTCACTTTATGATCTCTTGAATTTGCATTTTTTTGATAAATCGGTGCTTCTGTATTCCCCCCACGATTTTCACCCGTTCTCCAATTCCCAAAAAAAGGTTTAGCGCTACGGGTCTGTGCGTATTGACGTATCGGAATAAATTGTGTATCTGGAAATATTGTTTACACGTCAGACGTTCCGCATAAAAACCGGGTAAATCCCAGCATAAAATCGGATCTACAGGGGCGTAGGGCCGTTCGAATGCGAGAGAGAGAGAGAGAGAGAGAGAGAGAGAGAGGGCGATGGCCAGAAAAAATAACTAGTAGTCCCTCTAAAACAACCTATAAAGTATGTCGATTTCCAAGAGCGAAAAAAAGGTAATTTACTGGATTCAGCGCTCTATGTTTGAGATACTCCTTGAAGACGTTGGGGTCTTCGGAAGGAAAAATTTACTATAAATTAAATGGTTTCGCTATCTTTCCGGGAATTTTAATATTTTTTTAAAGAAGGTTGAAGAGCTGTTTTTGGAGCAACAGCTGTATTTTTTCGGTACCGAGATGGATACGTTAGCTTTCTCAAATTACCATGGCCTTTGATAGGCAATCAGAAAATCTTCAGTTAAATAATCACCACCTGGCAGAAGCCGTTTTCCGAAGCCCGTTCCAATTTTCTCGATCATTTAGCCGTATCGTCCCTTAACCCTGAAAAAAAACAATTTGTTCCCCTCCCCTGGCTGCCAGCTTCTCTCGTTGGCAACTTTTCGCGCCAAAAGCCACCGGGGTGAGCCGGGCCGATGGCCGGTAGCGGGTTCTTTTAGCCCGTTTTTGAGACTTTTCCGCCGTGCCCCCCGCACCTACCGTTGTCTTTGTTCAGCCGGTGGACCCGGCAGGCGGGCTGTCGGGGGAGGGCTGTAAAACTGTCCGGCAATCCGGTATTTTATGGGCCTTAGACGGTCTAGGGCAGCCAGGCGTGGGAGCCGGGGATGTCCCGAGGTTGGCAGCGCTTTTGGGCATATTTTTGTACAGTTTCCGGTCAAATATGCGTTACAGTATTACACGGTCAATCTCAAACATACCCCCAGGCTATGATCGCACCTCGTCCTCATCGCGTGACTCGTCCAGACTACTTTTTGCTGGTTTTCCCCGTTGCTAGAGTCGCTCAGCTGATCCGGGCAATTATTATTGATGTGGGGGCGCATGAATTTTTTAGGGGTTGGTGTTGCGAAGTAATATGTATTATCGGGAGAGAGGAAAAGCTAAAAAGACCAGAACAGCGAAATCCTCTTAAAATAGCTCGAAAATAGGAAAAAACGTGATTTTCTGACTATGAGCAATTATAATAAAAATATAATTAAATCGGAAAAATCGAATAAATCGCTATGGAATACAAAAATTGGCTAAATGAAAGTGCAAATATAGAAACGCTAAACTACTAACTAGGAAATACGAAAATTATGAAAATCTTTTTAAAGACTTTACGGTTTTTATGGTTTTTGGGTGTTTAATTTTTTATGTAAGGTTTATTCAATTTTGGACTTTTTGAATCAGACTATAAACTACAAAAGTACTTTGCTTTCGGTATTTTTCCGTGCAAGCTACTAGTACAATTTTAAGTCTTCATGACTGTAAAACGAATTTCGTGAATTTTTAACCCCTTTAAGCCAGACTATAAACCGTAAAAGTGCGAAAAACCCTCTTTTTACGCGTTTTTCTTTGCAAATTACTCGTTTATAAAAGTGGAGGTTTAGAGAAGTTATAGAAGTCTAATAGATGCTGCTTTTATGGCATCAGAGAATTTATTTTTTGCTGTTTTTAATCGTTTTTATGCCAAAAAATCCATTTTTGAAACCGAAATATCTCAACGTGCAACCAGAACCCGGTTCCGGCGAAAATCCTTGAAATGCCCGACCGGAAAAACATGGCATCAGTGAGTCGACCTCTTCTTGCCCTCCGTGTGCAATATACTGTGGGTTGTTAGGTGGAGCGGAAATGGGTGAAATCACATGTTCTCTCATCCATCTTATCCTCCACCCCTCCGACAAAATTCTTATCCGCAACCCCGTCTTTTCCAATTTCAACTGGCCGCCGAGGACAAATCGGTATCTTAACCCGACGTACTGGGGGTAAACGCCTATATCCCCGTCACAATTTTTGGGGCTGGCGGATCGATTGGGGTTAGTCATGGTTTTACTATAGTTTTGATTATGTTAAAAATGTAAAGCTGTTAAATTTCTTAATTTTAGCATCATCCGCGAATCATTTGGCTTTAGTTCGTTTGTACAAATTTGGTGGTTTCGCATTATCGGAAGGCTATCTCAGAGGAGGGCCGATTTTTTTGCTTATAACTTTCCAATTTTTCTTATGCAAGTAAATAGAGGAACCGTTTTGTAAGCTATTTTTTCTATTCCTAAGCGTAAAACCTACAAATTTTCTTTACGGAAAATACTGACATTAAAAAATGGGTTTCATCCAAAAATCGGCGATTTTTTACCAAGATTTCAATACTTTGTAGGTTTTACATAGTTCTTCCTCAAGGAATATACATCAAATTTTAGTAAGGGCGCTAACAAAACAGTTGCTTTTACGTTGCTTAGTATTAACTTGCAAAAATTAAAATAAATTTTGTTTTTTTATTTTCCTATGATTGATTCCAATCCTGTACTCCTTACATTTTACCGTACTCTTTTCTGTCTGCTAGCTTGTCAGAACCAGTTTTAGATTTTTCAAAGTACTTCGGCTAGTTCGCCTGCCGAATTTGATAATTTTAAATCCAACCATGTGATTAGCGTTAAAACCCCCATTTGCGCCATTTTTTAGCAAATAATTTTTTTGCATAAAAATAAGATATTTTCTTGGTTTTGTTCATTTTTTTTGCTTTGTAAACCCGTTTTCCATTTCTGCGATTTTTAGCCCCTCAATATTGGCGTCGCCAGCAAATGGTATGGGGCGGACGGCCCAGTTAATTTTTATTGTCCTCCTCGTCCAGCAGACCGTTGCCATACAGGAATTTGTTGTAAGTTGGAGCTTGTCGGAATTTTAAAGCCTGAATTCGTGAATAAAACACTGGAAATTATACATTTTCTAGGCGGAATCGTTCAGCAGCTTCGACTTTGACAGCAAGCACTCGATCTCGTTCAAGCAGTTGCTCTTTGTGCTACTTGGATTTTTAGCCACTTTTGGAGTGTTGGTATGTTAATTTTTGTAAAAAAACAAATCATAAAAATACGGTAAAATACGTACTACAATTTTGGTTTTCAGCTAATCGTCGTGTTCCTCTTTCACCGCTGCATGGAAAAGCTCGGGTATAACGACAACACCAAGCGGTTCGAGCTACCGTCTTTTGAAAACGTATATTTTGATCGTGGAATTAGCGCAAATATACTATTTTTAGTACAAAGTCGTCGAAGAAGACGAAAATGAGAACAAGCGCAAAAGTTTTCAATCGATCCTCGTCCACTCGGAACTGATAAAGATGCAGGGTACGTCCAAATATGCTTCCCTTTGCGAATAATTCCTTTTTAGATTTATTCAAACTCTTATTTAAACATTTTTCGGTAAAATCAAGCATTAAAAGCTACGTTTTAGGTGATGAAGAGGTCCTATCCCCACTGGGTCTCGACAAAAAGCAACGCCGGGAGTTAGCCATGCTCCTGGGTGGCTATGTACATTAATTCATACCTTTCCTTATCTCAATTTATGGTTTTAGATTAAGACTTAAAATCCTTCGTTCCCGTTCCGGAAACCCCTATAGACCCGTTGTCATTTGATGATCTCCTGATTCGCATTTTTTGGTAAATCGGTGCTTCTGTATTTCCCCACGATTTTCACCCGTTTTCCAATTCCCAAAAATGTTTACCGCTACGGGTCTGTGCGTATTGACGTATCGGAATAAATTGTGTATCTGGAAATATTGTTTACACGTCAGACGTTCCGCATAAAAAAGGGGTAAATCCCAGCATAAAATGGGCTCTACAGGGACGCAGGGCCGTTCGAATGAAAGAGAGAGAGAGAGAGGAGAGAGAGAGAGAGAGAGAGAGAGAGAGAGAGAGAGCGATGGCCAGAAAAAAATAACTAGTAGTCCCTCTAAAACAACCTATAAATAAAGTATGTCGATTTCCAAGAGCGGAAAAAGGTAATTTACTGAATTCAGCGCTTTATGTTTGAGATACTCCTTGAAGACATTGGGGTCTTTCGGAAGGAAAAATTTACTATAAATTAAATAGTTTCGCTATCTTTCGGGAATTTTAATATTTTTTGAAAGACGTTTGAAAAGCTGTTTTTTGAGCATCAGCTGTATTTTTTCGGTACTTTGGGGGACTATGATGGATACGGTAACTTCATCCAATTACCATGGCTTTTGATCTTAGGTTAGATAATCACCACCTGCAAAAGTCGTTTCCTGAAACCCCGTTTTCAATTTTCTCACGGTCCTGGAGCCCGTATCGTCCCGTAGCTCTCAAAAACAACTTGTTCCTGCCCTCCCCCCGGCTGCCAGCTTCTCTCGTTGGCAACTTTCGCGCCAAAAGCCACCGGGGCGAGCTGGGGTGATGGCCGGTAGCGGGCTCTTTTAGCCAGTTTTTGAGACTTTCCCCGTGCCCCCCGCACCTACCGTTGTCTTTGTTCAGCCGGTGGACCCGGCCGGCGGGCTGTCGGGGGAGGGCTGTAAAACTGTCCGGCAATCCGGTATTTTATGGGCCTTAGACGGTCTAGGGCAGCCAGGCGTGGGAGCCGGGGATGTCCCGAAGTTGGCAGCGCTTTTGGGCATATTTTTGTACAGTTTCCGATCAAACTGGGTTATCTGCGCTCGTAGCAATTTTTAAACACTTGATCCGATAGCTCAAGTTCCAGCACCAGGTAAAGGGGCAGATAAAAAAGCAAATTTTTCATATCTGACGTTACCTGACCCCTGAAAACCGAATCTCATCTCAACTTTTCAGTACCGCATTTTTAAGGCATAGTTTCCGCACTTCACTACCCAATACTTTCTGACAACGGATTCGTGATAGAGGCGCAAATTCCTGGGGGGAGGAAATGTAACAAATAAGCTTAACCAGTATCTACCGTTAAATTACCTAGTTCTTGAAACCCAAATTTCCTGCAGATTGTGCGCCGCGTTTTTAAGGTAAAGTGTCGATCCCTCGGTATCAAGAGTTTTTCTCACCACCGGTTTTGGATAGAGCGCAAAATTCTGCGCCAAGTATATACCGAGTTCGTTTTCACCTTCTCTTGACTCTCAAAGTTCAATACGTCCCCGCTTCCCAGTCAAAATTGTGGATGTGGCCATGTCCACGTCGGTCGTGTCCACGTCGACCACCTCGTCCTGTACATCTCTTCGTCTCTTTCCGATTCCCCTTTCCCCGATCATCGCTTCCAGAACAGCACGTAGCCTCTTTCCTCGCCCGGGCCCGGGGTTGTCCGTTCCTCCCCGGCCCCCCGAACTTGGGCGAGACGGGAGCCGATCGGGGTGTGTCTGTATCTCTGGCTCTCTCGTTCTGCCGTGTACTCTGGTTGGACAGTACGTTCTGTGTGGCTGGCTGGCTATCTCTCTCACTCCCCCTCTCTCTCTCTCTCTCTCTCTCTCTCTCTCTCTCCTGAAGCTGTGTCTTTTCCGCTTAACAGTCCTGAAGTTGCGTCTCTCCCCCAATCGCAGTACGTCTCTCTTTTTCTCGTGCTGCACCGGCCTTTCTCTGTGTCTCCAGCTCAATCGCGCTCTCTTGCTCCTTTTCATGTTCTCCTAGAATTTCTCTGCCTCTCCTGCTCCGTCACACTCTCTCCCTTCTTTCCCTGTGCTCCTAGACTGTGTCTCCCGTCTCTCTCCCAGTCGCTCTCTCCCACTCTCTCTCTCTTTCTCTCTCTCCCCCAGTGTTTCTCCATGTCTCTTGCTCCGTAATGCTCTCCCTCTCTCTCACCGCTGTCGGTTCCCAACTAGCATGTCTCTGCGTCTCTCTCTCTCTCTCTCTCTCGCCTCTCTCTCTCTCTCTTCGTCCCACTCTCTCGTCTCTGTCCCGGCATTTCACTATCACTTCTCTTTCACCTCTCCCCCATTGGCACTCTCTCATCCCTTTCCCCTGTATTCCACTGGCCTGTCTCTGCGTCTCTCTCTCTCTCTCTCTCTCTCTCTCTCTCTCTCTCTCCTCCTCTCCTCTCTCTCTCTCCGAAATCCCTGCATGCCTGTCCCCAACCCTCGTGTCCCCCATCGTCCCCTTCCCGTGTCTGTGCGCGTAGATGCAGCATACACGCCTCGCCCCACCCCCTCGCGTCGCGGTCCCCCTTCTGGCTGGATAGTGTGTGTGCCCGCCTCGGAGACGACGGTGTATGTCTGTCTGTTTTGGATGCCGTGTGTCGGTGTGTCCTCTCCTCGTGGCCGGGGTCCCTCCAGGCGGAACACACACCACCACCGACCCCTCCTTCCTCACGGGCTTTATCTTTTTGAACGCTAGACAAGTGCCCGGTGTAGGGTGTTGCGTCCTCGCGGTCTTTCTTTTCCTAAAAGCCGCCACTTTCTGGGTGTTTAGCGATGATTTTGGGGTGTTACGAAACGCTCATGTGAACGCTTACTCGTTGCCCACGTGACCCATGTGGGCGGCTGTGGCATTTCGAAATGTATTTCCGGTTTTCAATTGGATTTTTGTGAGCATGATGATTTTGGATTCAGGACGTGTATCCTTTTGTGAAATTTACCCCTTTAACGTATGTTTTTCATACCGTTAACTGATTTATTTCATGCTAAATTCCCGACTCTCTCTCTTTTGTTAATCCCGCGCTACTTTCTGACTTGATTCGTCTCGATTTCTCTTGGTATTCTGGGAATTAATGATGCCATTTTGAGAGTTTCCTATACCTTCTCGAAGCCAACCGTTTTCAAGGGACCTTTTTCCGACCGTTAACTGATTTACTTCATGTTAAATTCTCGGCTCTTCTCTTTCGTTGACCCTGCGATACTTTCCTGTTTGTTTCGTCGAGTTTTTGCCAGGTTTTGGGCAGTTTTAATGCCGTTTTTGAACGTTTTCGATACTCTGTGCCTCGTTTTCTGTATAAATAACTTTATGCTCTTTTTCGCAGTTTTTAGTGCGGTTTTCGTTCGTTTCTGTGCCGTTTGGCACTTTTTTGGGCGATTTTGACCTCCCCCCTCCCCTCCGGCTCCTCCATTTCCAGGGCATAATTTCGTGGCGTAAGCCCTTTTCTTGCGAAGTCGAGCGATCCTTATGAAATTTCTATACCCTGGCCAGATTCAAGCTTGTTTTTCTATTTCTAGTTTTATGGAGCGCGACGAGGTTAGACGAAGCTAAAATTCCACCTTTCGATTTAGAATTTAGGATCATGTTAAAAGTTCATAATCTGAAATCAAGCCCCCAATTATTACTTACCTTTTCCCCATAAATTCCACTAATTTCCACCTTCCACCCGATGTACTACCCGGCTACTCCAGCCTGGTTATCAATTTTCCACCCGCCCCCTCCGGCGCCACACCCCTTATCGGCATTCGGCAAATTTTTGAGGCGCCAAGGGCGGCAATTAGGATGGCGCCTAAGTAGCCGCGCCCTCGGTATCTGGCAACAATTATTGATTGGATGTAGGTTTTCTTAGCCCTGATCGTAGCCCTTAACTCATCACAACAACGTTAAGATATCTCTGAACGCCCGGAAGTTTGAAAGTGCGCGCGCCGTTCTTTGGGAAAACACCTGCCAAAGCAGGTGGTAGTCTAGTAATTCGCGTGTTGATTTGCATTAATAAGATGCTGTCGAGATTGAGTCCCTCATTAACAAAGGCATCTGATGACTACGAAACTATAGCACACTTTGATTGACCTTAATTCTGGCATATTTTCTTTTTTGCCATTTTTCCCTGAAAACTGAATCGTTTTTCGGGCGTTCATTGCCGGAATTTTATGCAAATCTTATCGATTTTCTCTATGTACTTCATGCGAAACTGACTGGGAAATAGAACTCCGTTTTTTGGAGTGTATCGTAGCGTTTTCAGAGTATTAGAGGGCCAAATGGAGTTTTTTCTCTATTCTATTGCTTCGTTTCTCCTATCAACCTTATAAAGCTTATGAAATCTTCTAGCAATGCTAATTTTTACCCTTTTCCTGATTTTTGAGCATTTCTGCATTGTTTCAACGTCTTCAAGCTGTACTTTCCGGTTCAATACCCAAAACACAGCTGCCAGTGGCGCCCTTTTTGCCCCTAATTTCCTGGTGCCCTCAAACTTTTTGGCTGGGATTTCCCATCCCTCGTATCGCTCGTATTCCGTAGTACTACTCACTACACGGCGGCCCGTTCGCAGATTACTTACGACCCTCACCACCACTACTACTTCTTGTTCTTTTCCCTGTTGATGTGGTGGTGTGCTGTTGTCCAGCAACCCATCCTCAACCGGCCCGTCGCGCATCCGCGGGAGGGGCACCACCCACAAACAAAAACATCCCCTGCCCCACTACTTTTTTCTTACTCACTTCGATTTTTCAAAGGATTTTCTTGGGCGTTGTTGTGAAAATGGCCCCCTTAGGTCAATTGGAATTTTTGGGAATCAAAAATCTTGTAAGGATTCGAGGTCGACCATTCTTATTTTGGATTTGAATTTGCCTAGCCTAGAAGATTTGAACTTTTTTACTAGGGAAATAATTGTAAGCAAAACGACTTAAAATTCATAAAATGAAAATCCTTAA